GACCCATTATCTAAGTGGTCAGTTTCTTCTGCAAGGTATCTCTGTGAACTGTGCGTGAATATTCCAGGGTCTGCTAGTCTAAGCACTTATCAGTGTTTATTCCTTTTTATTTTTAGTTTAATATTTTTTGAGACTGAGTCTTGCTCACTTAGGCTGGAATGCAGTGGTACAATCTTGGCTCACTGCAACCTCCACCTCCTGAGTTCAAGTTATTCTCTTGCCTCACCCTCTTGAGCAGCTGGGGTTACAGGTACACGCCACTATGCCTGGCGAATTTTTGTCTTTTTAGTGGAGACAGGGTTTCATACATTGATCAGTCTGGTTTTGAACTCCTAACCTCAAATTATCTGCCTGCCTTGGCCTCCCAAAGCACTGAGATTACAGATGTGAGCCACTGAGCCTCGCCTGTTTACTTCTTTTTAAGTGGCATCCTCACCTTGGTCTTTTACTCCAGTCTATGTACCACTTGCAGCTGAATCTCCTGAGGCACTGCTTTGGTTATGTCAGTCCCCAATTCAAATAGCTCATAATAGAAAAATCAAGCTGTTTACCCCAACAATAATTAACGCCTTCTGTGACCTGGCCATAACCTATCTTTCAGCCTCATCTGCTACTCTTCCTATTAATGAATCCTCTGCTCTAGCCAGAGCTAGATGGAGGGTTGTTGCCCAGGTGCCTAACTATACGGGTTGCTGAAAAAAATTACTGGAGTAAATACCAAGTATGGTTCTAGATAACTATGGTTTCCACATTGTTTCCTTGAATGACCGTACAAATGTGAATTGGTCATTCTTGTTCCCCCCATCAAGCCAAATAGTGCTGTCAGGTTGGGAAAGTTTGTATTCTGGCTAGCTCTGATCTCTGTTGAGTATTTTTACAACATGTAAGACACCAACTCCTGACACCAATGTGTGAAATGTCATTTAAAGTCAGCAGTTGCAGTCTTGGTGTGGTGGCTCATGCCTATAATCCCAGCACTTTGGGAGGCCAAGGTGGGCAAATCACTTGAGGTCAGGAGTTTGAGACCAGCCTGGCCAAGATGGCAAAACCCCTTCTCTACTAAAAAGACAAAAATTAGCGGGGTGTGGTGGCATACGCCTCTAATTCCAGCTACTCAGGAGACCGAGGCAAAAGAATCACTTGAACCTGGTAGGTGGAGGTTGCAGTGAGCCATGATTGTGCCACTGTACTTGAGCTTGGGTGAATGAGACTCTCAAAAAAAAAAAAAAAAAATGAAGTCAGTTGTAGTCAGTTGAAATTCTAGTGCCGAATAAAGCATCGTATAAAGCCATTAGTTGTTGATGATTAGTTTTGTTAATTGTATTTTTAAAGTCAGGCTTATTTATTTAGTTACAGTTTCACTCTTGTTGCCCAGGCTGGAGTGCAATGATGCGATCTCAGCTGACTCCATCCTCTACCTCCTGGGTTCAAGTGATTCTCCTGCCTCAGCCTCCTGAGTAGCTGGGATTACAGGCATGCACCACCATGCTCAGCTGATTTGGCATTTTTAGTAGAGATGGGGTTTCTCTGTGTTGGTCAGGCTGGTCTCGAACTCCCGACCTCAGGTGATCCACTCACCTTGGCCTCCCAAAGTGCTGGGATTACAGGTGTGAGCCACCGTGCCTGACCAAAAGTCAGGCTTACTGAGGTATGATTTACATATGGCAAAATTAACTCTTTTTAGGTGTATAGTTTGATAGATTTTGACAACCATATGTGGTAGTGTAACCATCACTACTATCAAGATGCAGAGTATTTCCATTGCTGTTATATTCATTTTAAATGTTCTATCATGGCTCCTAAGAAGTATTCTGGTATATAATATTGCACATAATGAAGTCTTTATTAGACAGTTGAAATGTGTCTGATTTTTAAATAGAAAAAATAGTTTCTGGCCAGGCGTGGTGGCTCGCGCCTATAATCCGAGACTTTGGGAGGCCGAGGTGGGTGGATCATCTGATGTCAGGAGTTCGAGACCAGCCTGACCAACATGGAGAAACCCCGTTTGTACTAAAAATACAAAATTAGCCGGGTATGGTGGCACATGCCTATAATCCCAGCTACTCAGGAGGCTGAGGCAGGAGAATTGATTGAACCTGGGAGGCGGAGGCTGCAGTGAGCTGAGATTGTGCCATTGCACTCCAGCCTGGGCAACAAGAGCAAAACTCCATCTCAAAAAAAGAGAATAAGTTTATTCCAGTCTCTGCTAGATAGATGGTGAACAAATATTTTAAAAATTCAATTTTAAGGGGCCTGCAAGGAGTGCCCACAGGTTTTGGTCCAGTCCCACGTGGCATCTATATATGGAATAATATAGGAAGAATAGATATGGGAGGAAGGTGATGAGTTTGGTTTTGGTCATGCTAGAATCAAGGAGCCTATAGACAGGGCTGATATTCAAAACTTTCTACCAACCAACAGAGCACAGGCAGGTATTGGCTGCTGGTGAGGACGGATACTATTAATAAACAAATCAGTTTGTATATATCAGCATATCAACCCTGCCCACAGGACATCCAGGTGGAAAGTTGGAGTTAGAAGTCAGAAGAAAAGTTGGGCTCAATATAATGGATTGGGCTGGTGTATTTAATAATTGATTGTATTGTCATGAGAGGGCTGGGGATGAGTCCTGGGATTGAGTCAAGGAAGACGGGTGAATGGAAAGGTGAGACAAGAACCAAAAGACAACTGTTTCCCAGAAATCAAGAAGAGTTTTAAGGATAGAGTAGTCAATAGGATAATAAACGCCTATCAACTTGGCAATGTCAGAAGTGGTAAACATAGTGGAAACAGATGAACATGTGTGTCTGTAGCAGGTGCCAATATGTCCTGTAACAGTGTATTAAGTATTTTTCTTTCATTATGAAAGTATATTGTACTTATTATACACTATTTGGAGACAGGAGGGTGGTCAGTTTCAACCTGCTGGAACTTCTGAGCCAAATACCAGGGTCAGCCAAGGATGAGGACCCCAGGGGGTTCTCACCACTGGTACCCTGGGTGGTGCAGGTGCACTGTTGAGTTTGACACGTACCAGAGCAGTCTGTCAGTTCAAGATGGTAGTCCTGATTTGATGCTGTAGTGAGTAGCACTGAAGAGAATCTCCCTACTCTGAGGCTGCCTCTCTCCATCTGAGGCCCTCTACCCTTCTCAGACAACTGGACCTAAAATTTGATAAAGAAAAATGACAACTCCCTGATCAGATTTTCCCCTGCACCAAAACTATCTGAACATATATAATCTGACAGAGCCCATTTCACTCTCAGTATGTGACAGACTCCTCCTTAGAAAGATATGAGACAGATGGAATGATGTTGTAGAAAGATGGAAAAAGATAGAAAATCAGGTAGAATGGAAGGATTGAGTAGTTCTAAAGGAGGGGAACAGAGTTATTGTGGGAAACAAAAAATTTACAAGTGGTCAAGATCAGAAAAGGTGGGAAATGCCATGAAACGAAGACTGTCGCATTCATACTTCTCTCTTGTTTTTCTCCTGTCTTATCACTCAGCTCTGTGGTAGTGATTGACTCTGACTCTGATAACGAATGCTACCCCTCTGAGAAGAAAGCTAAGATACTGAAAACAAACCATGACGGCAAGTATATATCACTTTGTTAGAGAAGTGGCTGAGCCCCAAAGCCTCATCACACATGGTAGTTTCAGGATCAGTGTCCGCAGACTTTATCTTTGGAATTCCTCAGCAGCAAGTGCCACCGTTTCCTTCCTCATATGTGCTGGATGTGAATGTGGCTGGGTTCCCTATACCCCCTTGTTAATTTCCCAGCAGCAGCAACTGTTCTCGCTGCCTGAGACCTTGGTGGCCCCCTCAGTAGAGATTTTACCTGTCTAGAGCTACATCAGTGAAGCGGGGTGGGGGTGGGTGGTCAAGAACTGAGGCTGGGAAGTATGGAAGCTGCTCTGTAGTCCCCTCTTCCTCTCTCCCCCTTCTATGTGTAGGAATGACGAGGAAGAAGAAAGGAATAAGAGGCCTGGCTCATTTTTCCTTCCAATTTGAAGGGTGGTGGTTTATGGGCCAGCTGGCAGTGTCGTGTTGGGAAGAATCCTTATTTTCTCCATTGAGTTGTTGGTCTTTGCTGTTTGCCAGTCCCTCTGTATTTTCTACAGATTCTTGTATTTCTTAGAGCCTGTTTGGATTCAGAAGCCCCTTTAACCTTCTGGGAGGCTTGGAGCTTAACTCAGTTTAAAACCTACCTGCTCAGTGGGCATGAAACACAGGAAGACTAGAAACTTTAAGCACTAGGGACAGTATTTCATTGACCTTTGTTCTCCCAGTACAGGTGTAGGGCATGATACATGATACACCTAGTTAATGTTTGCTGAGCCAAACTCCACTGAAAATGGAAGGCCCATAAAGCACCAACTACTTTTTTTTTTTTTTTTTTTT